GGGATCCCTGGGGAGCGGGGCCGGCGCCGGCGCCTCGGCCGCTCAGGCCGGGTGAACCGTGGTCTTGCCTAGCTGAGCCTCCGTTCTGACCGGCATGTGGGCAACCTCTTCTGGTCCCTCACCGCCCACCCAAGGACCGGCGACCGCCACTGAGGAGGATTTAACTCCGTCAAGTGTGTTAACCTGTGTTCAGGGAAGCGCAGGCTGTCTTTCCGTCACATCATTACAAGGGAGCCACGGTGGTCCAGTAATGCTGTCTCTTGCTCCGTTTGCAGTGTTGTCACAATGGAAGCCAAGGGTAAAAAGAAGTTCGTGGGGAAGAGTGGAAAAGCACCTCGTGGAAAAGTGCCACACGGGAAAAGGAAATTTAAAAAAGGTAATGGTAAGAAGGCAAAGGCTCCTTAATAGGGTCCTGGCTGAGTTGTTATTGTTGTGCACAGGCATGCTCAAACTTCATTTTTTATCTTGGTAAACTTATGTTGTGAAATTACTAGCTTGGTAGATGTGTGAAGAACAGGGGGTGTTGTCTACGTGGACTGTAGTAAGGCTTTTGACAGTGTATCCCATAACGATCCTCACAGAGGTGCTGATGAATTATGGGCTGGATGAGCAGACGGTGAGGTAGATTGAAAACTGGCTGAATGGCTGTGCCCAGATAGTGGTAATCAGCGGCACAAAATGTAGTTGGAGGCCAGTAACTAGCAATGTACCCCAGGAGTCAATACTGGGTGTAGTCCTGTTCAACAGCTTCCTGGATGATCTGGATGATGGGGCAGAGTGTACCATGAGAAAGTTTACCGATGACACAGGGAGGAGTGCCTGATACACCAGAGGTCGTGCTGCCCTCCAGAGGGACCTCAGCAGGCGGGAGAAATGGGCTGACAGAAGCCTCATGAAGTTCAACGAGGAGAAGTGGAAAGTCCTGCACCTGGGGGGGAAAAACTCCATGCACTAGTACAGGCTGGGGGAAAGCAGCTTTGCAGAAAAGGCCTTGGGGCTCCTGGTGATCACAAAGCTGAACAGGAGCCAGCAGTGTGCCCTTGTGGCAAAGGTGGCTAATAGGATCCTGGGCTGCATTAGGAGAAGTGCTGCTTGCAGGTCGAGGGAGATGATCCTTGTTCTCTCCTCAGCTCTGGTGAGACCCCACCTGGAGTGCTCTGTCCTGGTCTGGGCTCCCCATTACAAGAGAGATACGGAGCTACTGGAGAGAGCCCAGCAAAGGGCCACGAACACGATACTCCATGTCTGGAGTATCTCTCCTATGAGGAAAGGCTGGGAGAGCTGGGACAGTTCAGCCTGGAGAAGAGAAAACTGAGGGGGCTCTTATCAATGTATACAAATACCTGAAGGGGGGGTGCAAACACAGAGTCGGGCTCTTTTCAGTGGTGCCCAGTGACAGGACCAGAGGCAATGGGCACAAACTGAAACACAGGAGGTTCCCACTGAACACCAGGAAAGGTTTCTTTACTGTGAGTGTGACTGAGCACTGGCACAGGTTGCCCAGGGAGATGGTGGAGTCTCCCACCCTGGAGATGGTCAGAAGCCACCTGAACATGCCCCTGGGCAACCAGCTTTGGGTGGCCCTGCATGAGCAGGAGGGTTGGACCAGATGACCTCCAGAAGTCCCTTCCGACCTCAATCATTCTATGATTTTGTCTTGCATTCAAAACTATACTGACTGATCACATAACCTGGAAAAAGTAAAGCTGAAATGCTTTAAATAGGTTGCATTGCAAGCCCTTCTGTTTGAAGGCTCTATGTGATTGACCTAAAATACTCTTTTAATTAAAAATTTGAAGTTGATGACTTTTTGATTCTAGACTTTGCTTTCCCACATTAAGAAAAAGTTTATTGGAGAGTTGAAGCTCAATGTGTGTGAAGTGCTGTGGGTTAGGATTGAGAAGATCCCTTTCAGTGTTTGCTCTCATCAGGTTAAAACAGATGATGTCAAAACTGCTCTGACCATAAACTGTGAACAGATGATTTGGGGATTGATGACTTTGATGTCAGCGGTGGTGAAATTCTTAATTTGGAATAATCCTTTTTATGCCTGGGCTATTATACTAGTGCCCGCAAAATGATGCCTGGGCGAAACTTCCCTAGGGAAAACTGGGACACCCAGGGACTGGAATGAAAACACCAGCTTTGAGAAGCATGTAAGACTTATTGTTATATATATAATTGTTATTACAAAGTAATTTAATTCTTGTTACAGTAATAATTTGTTATTTTGAAGCTACATTAGTATTAGGATAACATTTTAATTTCTGTTTTCTTGGTTAATAGATTCAGGTCCACCAAAGAAACTTCTTAACAAAGGAGATGAGGAGGGAAAGCCCAAATCTGTTTCCAAGAAGTTTGTGAAAGGACAGTTAAGACCTGGAAGAGCTAGTGTCAAACAATTCAAGAATAAACAGCAATCAGAAAAGCTTGCAAAGAAAAGGAAGCTTCAGGATGGTGAAGAAGGAGGTGAGCAGATGTGAGCAGACTTTTAAGCCTGGATATCAATGGATACTAGGTTTTGGGAAACACATTGTTCATCTAGGTGTTCCTCTTTACCCCTGTGTTTGTTATCACCCTTCCAAATTGGCTGAATGACTCCAAGTTTACTTCAGGTTCAATCGTTGCTGTGGAAAAATGTACTTCACTTGACTAAACTTGAGGCCAAAGTCATGAGAATCAACAGTTACAAATTTTCTTGGAAGTCAAAAGTGAAGATACAGTAGCAAATTTAAATAATTGGTATGCCATTGTAAAGCTATGATTATTTTAATGCTAGTATTAAGTGGTTAGCTTGAAACTGGCTGTTTTCATTCAGATTTGGAAAATAGGGAGTTTTTCGTGGGCCATTTTAAAAATTTAATCCTGTGTTCTAAAAGTATTGGCTATAAAACTTGGAACACAAAAATTCATGAAACAAAGTTGATTATCCTTTATATTATTTTTTTCTGTGGTCCAAACTAGCTAGACACCTCTTTATAAAGAAAAAAAAAAAGACATCATCAGTGTTATCACTGTTTTTTACATTTTATAGCTTATTTTTTTTGTTTACACAGAGAGACTAAATAAATGTCTGACTTTATCACTGTTTAAATGGATTTCTTTTTCAACTTTGTTTCTGCTACATGCGGACTTCATGTTGTTCCCTCCTCTGCTGTGAAGCAAAGCTCTACTGCAACAATTAAAATGAGAAGTGGAATCTTATGTGAGGGATTCTGAAGTTCTGCAGAAAAATGTTAGTTGTTTGAAGGACAGTAGAAGGTGTTGAGTATTTTATTGTTGCTGTTGTTGCGTGTTTGCAGAATGGCTTCACATGGAATATGCACTAGGTGTCTGGAAGTGTAATAGCAACAGAATGTTCATATTAAGATGCTTTAAAAAAAACCAACACAATTACAAACAAACCTTTAAATGTTGTTTATGAGAATAACTGAAAGGTGCTGTGTCTTGCGCAGTGGTGCTGCTCTTAAAGCAAAGCGTTACTGTTGTTGCTTGTCACTGTTTAGGAGAGTGATAGAAAAAATCGATAATACGCTTTGTAAAAACAGAGCTTGGTTTTTGGATGGGTAAGACAGTTAAGTGCATGCTGCTAAATACCAACAAGCGGTGCTTTAAAGTCTAAAAATTTAAAGCTGGGTCTTTAATGTTCTATATAGAAGTAATAGCGTGACTTGCTTCTGTGAAATCATGTAATATAAGATGGTGGTTTTTGTCAAGGTATGAATAAAACTAAAATCAAATACTTGAAGTTTTTCCATAACTCATTTGTGGCACTTTCTGTAAAGTTACCTTAACTGAGTTTGTTGTGTGGCAGCGTATAGCTGTTGTATAGTAAAATCCCATGCTTAAGGAATTTGACTGAATAAAAAGATGAAGCACGTAAAAAGGCTTTAATTTTTTTCCTTTCTCTGATATTTCAGATATGTATCTTTGAGCTAGGGTTCTTCTTTTGAGAGAGGGATAAGGTATGTATGAGTACAGATGAACTAAAAAGGAAGAATGACCTGGGGCAGTCATAGGCTGCTACGTGCATTTTGAGTCAATTTTGAAGCTATTAAGAGGTTTGCGATGTATCCTTTGGCAGAGCTTTGAGGAAGAATCGTTGTTTGCCATGTTTTTCCAGTATTCTAGAAGTGGAAATTATTAGCTTAGCATACTTACATATTTACACTTTGATATTAGCTAGCTGGGTAACTGCAGGCAAAGCTCCTGAATTATTAGCAATTCAAGGCACAGAACTGACATAGTTTATCCTGATAAAGGATTCCATTGCTCCTCTTTTATTGACTATAGAAAATGTGTTTATTTTTGTCTTCAGGGTCAGATTCTAAAAAGCCGAAGTGGAATGACTTCAAAAAGAAACGGAAGGAGTTAAAGCAAACCAGACAACTTAATGATAAAAGTAATTATGACATAATTGTAAAATCAAAGCAAATATGGGAAAGTGTGAGAAGGTAATAATGATTTTTTTTTTTTTTCCAGTTGGCTTTTAGTCATAAGTTGCAAGAAGACTCTCTTTCTCCTCTTGTAGTTACATGAAACTATATTTCCACGGTGAAACTCCATGAGTGAATGATAGTATTATGTGCAATTCTGTAGGTGATTCAAGCAGAGTGACCCATGGTGTTAGAAATGTCTGGATTGAGCTCACTTGTATTTTAGGCTAAAATTTGTGAGTAAATGCTTAAGGAGTTGTCTTATGTTTTTTAAATCCTGAAGCACAGCGCATGTGCACAGATTCAGCCTGATCTTGCAGTGGGATCACTGCATGAGTTTTTTGTGGACATTTGTATACTCTGTCTGGGCAGGTGTAATTCTAGAACTGGGGCTCCACATCAGAAGGAGGAGTTAATTTTACTTGCTCTAAGTGTCTGTGCTTTGCCGTTTTGGCTGTAAGATGCTTACAGATCTTTGGATCTGTAAACAACTCTGGCTGCAGATTTGAGTTTATGTTCTTTTTAATAATGTTGTTACTCAAAAGAATAATTTTGAAGTGTGGAAATCTGGTTTGGTTTCGGGGAACTGAAACTGCTTAATTACATGTATGTACAGGTTTAATGAATGACAATGTAAATTTGGATTAGCAGGAGCTAACTTCATTTTATTATGTACTGTCTTGCTTCTTAATTTATAGCTGTAAGTGAATCATACTACAAAAAAGCTGCTTCCTCTGTTAAGATTGGTTTACTTTTTTGGTTTGTAGGAAGAAATGTGATAAGGAGAAGCGAGAAAAGCTAATGAATGAACTACAAAAGCTTCTTCATGGAAAAATTAAAAGTGTAAGAAAAACTAATGCCATAATGCACAAATTCACAAAAGCTTCTTTAAAGAATGGTGAAATGTAGATGAACTTTTAATAATATAGTACTAACCTGTTCTTCCAAAAGGTACAGGGAATTTTTTTAAACTGTGAGTAAAAAAGAACAAAAACAGGGTTGAAAGGCTGCATTTGGCGCCTGGGTTTCAGGACATTAGTCCTGGGATGCTTTTTCTGTCAGCTGGCTATGATAAGGCTGTCTGTTATGGCAAGCAGCTTTAGTCCAGTGGAATTCTGTGTTAACTGAAGTTCAAAAACAGCCACTCAGACTTCTAATGAATTACAATTGTTGCTGTGCAGAATTCTTTTAGAGAAGTTAATGTCCTGATACTTAACTATACTAAACAGTCTTTCTGCTTAATTCTTGAAATGTATAAATTTGCAGTGAAGTAATGTTGGATTTTAAAGTGATTCTTGGTATTCCATGCTGACGCAGAACTGTATTGTCACACTCACTCTGAAATTACGAAGAACATGAGAGAAAACGAGATACCATTTCATGGTTCTCCTTCAGTATTAAAACCTTGATGCGTGTCCTTAATTGTCAGCAACTGCAAGTATTGTCTGTATTTTGTTCGATACAGTACTTATAACGCAGTAAAAAAACCTTAAAACTTAATTCGTTATAAACAGGTAACTATTTCTATAATTGGCATTACATGCTACATGTGGCATAAAACTGTATCAGAGAGAAAGTGCATTAAAATAAATTTGGTCCATAATGCTGTTTGAGTAGCCTAGGATAATGAAATACCTCTGTCCTGTAGCTGGCATTTGCACATGATTCAACTCGAGTGATCCAGTGCTTTATTCAGTATGGTAATGAGAAGCAAAGGCAAGAGACATTTGAAGAACTGAAAGGTACTTTCTTCCCATTTACATTTTACCTATATGCTTCTGTGTTGTTGTTAGGATGCATTAAAACAAGCCGTATTCTCTTGAATATTTGTAACTTTCTGCTGAAATTATGCATTGTTCCTAGTGAGCTCTTAAAACTTATTTAAATAGTAGCATCTTGTTTTGTAGAGTTACTGTAGTGAAAAATCAAACCAGCTGAATGTTTTTCCCTTCTAGATAGCCTAGTAGAGTTGAGCAAGTCAAAATATTCCAGAAATATTGTGAAGAAGTTTCTTATGTATGGGTGAGTATGAGGTGAATTTGCTTAGCTGTGTTGCATTGCTTCATTTCCAGTATGAATGCTGCTCTTAATCTATAGTGCATCAATCATGAAAAAAAAAAATGTCTCTGGAAACATCTTTGTAATGGTGACAAGACAGGAGAGTGTCTGGTATTGCTAACAACAGTTTTCCTTTTGCAAAAAGTAAAGTAAAGCTAAAGGAAAACATATGCCAAAAAAAGCTCAAATATGCTCAAAGTTGATCTTTGCCTTATACTGAAAACTGGCTTTTAAAAATTTTTTCTGCTTAGTGTTTCAGGAAGGCATCCTTTATTCTGTAGAATTTATCCACTGGTTTCTTTTCTTTCCCTCAAAATACCTTATGATTTCTCCAGATTCCTGGCTTTCTCTCCATATTTTCATAAATGCCATAAGGCTGATCCAGATGCATACATTTCCTGGTTTCTGTGCTAAAACTTATCACCTAAATGTACTTCCAAAAATAAAACTGTTGATAGGTCAGCTTATCCCTAAAGTTTTAACTCTTGCTATCTATCTTTCCATGTGAAACAGGACAAAACCACAAGTTGCAGAAATAATAAAAAGTTTTAAAGGCCATGTGAAAAAAATGCTCCGACACGCTGAAGCATCTGCTGTAGTGGAATATGCATATAATGACAGAGCTATTCTGGAGCAGAGGAATATGCTGACAGAAGAACTATATGGGAACACTTTCCAGGTTTACAAGGTGATGTGTCAATACTTTCTAGTTTAAGGTGTTTAACATCTAAGGTATTGTGCTAGTAATACCTTACCTATCTTACCTACTATTTCTTTTGATTAAATTTCGTTCTGTCAGCTGTCCAAATGTAGTTTAGTTTAGCACGTTTAAACGTTATGATTACTTGCACATTTCTATTCTAGATTAAATTGTTGTGTTTTTTCAGTTTGAACTATGTAAAATATATTATGTTCATGTATAAACTTGCTCTGCTCATCGAAGACAGTCTAATATCATATAGTTGCAGTTATCTAGTGTCATAGTGTCTAGCCTGAAGTGGTCATCCTTGCTGAGATAAGATTTAGGCTTAATTCCCCATTAATGCTGTAGATGGCTTTCGTGTCCGAACTACCTTATGTCTAATGACAACTGAGTGTGGGCAGAATGTGCCTGTATCTATATACAGTATGTGATTTAGGGTTAATTTTTGGCTTTGTTTTCTTTTCCCATGGAGACTATAGGACTTGAGTCCAAACTCTCTTGAAACTATTTAGACGTAGATCCTCACCAGGCAGTGGAAACCTTTTTAAAAAGTACAACCTCCTTTCTTTTGACTTCTGTTTTTCTTTCTTGCTTGCTGACTTGGAAAGTTGGTTTTCATTAGAGGCACAGCTAATTTTATTTGCTACAAAGTACAAAACTGTTTTATGCAATTATTAACTACACTAGAGTGATTTTTGCACCCTGGTGTACAACACAGGACGCTTTTACCCCAGATTTCTGTTAAAATTGTTATAAGACATTACAGCTCATTTCTAAACTGTACTACTATTTTTTCTTTATGGGTTTAGTAAAAGTAAAGTTTTAGTAAAGCATTTTGCAACACTGTAATAGAAAGGCGGGCTTGCGGGCTGTGATTTGTACTGGGAGTAAAACAGCCTCTGAAATCAAGTGGGATGTTAGCTTCCATCATTCTAGCATTCTTGGCATGAGTGCTTCAAGTAGTCTTACATTGCGGTGCAAATCTGAGACTCAACAGTATGTGGGTTTATAAGAAATTACGATGTAATCCTTAATGAGACCTGGAATTTCTTGGAGTTTTGAAATGTGTGGTTCGCAATTACCAGTGTAATTGCTTAGATGAGATACCAGGAAGTACTTTTGTATTCAAGGTATATGGTATATATTCCTCCTCTCTGCTGTTCTTGAACTGGAATTTCCTGGGCCTTGATTAACTTCTCAGTTCATTGACTTGTTGTTGTGTTGCCCCTTGATGTATGCATACTGTCATGCAGGATTTCTGCCTGATAAGCTTTTTATTTTTAAAATTGTAAAAACTATCAGTTTTACAGAAAATTAATTTTGTTTGTGATACTGTTCATGAATTTTGATTGAAAAAGGACTAAAGATTATAATTTTCTATGAACTCCGATACTTACTGGGAACGATTAAACCTCTGGTTGTGCATTTTCAGACACCAGTTGTCCCAACACTGGATAAAGTGTTAGAAGCTCAGCCTGAAAAGAGGGAGGCCATCTTGGATGAAATGAAACAGATTCTTACACCAATGGCACAAAAGTAAGGACAAAAATTGATTTGAGGTGTGACAATCTAGCATGTACAGGTTTGTTTCTGACATACAAACAGACAGTGATGTTGATACTCTTTTAAGCTGTAACGTTGCTGTGTTGTATAGTAAGTAACTATGGTTTTGTCCGAAGTGTCATAATGAATATCTTCTCTTAATTTTGAAGTTCACTTCTATAAACTGAAGTGTCCCCTGCCCCAGTCAAACAGTCAGTAAAAATCCAAAGTGTGATGTGCTTTCATAATGCATTATTGGATAAGCTTCTCCAGTGGTCTTTAGGAGAAAATATTTTGCTAGGGTTTAGAATTTGTAAGTTTGGTAGAATTTTCCACATATTGTCAATGCTAAACATCTAATCCAGAATGACTGTGTTTTCTGCACGCCACATTGCCTAACATTTTAAAATACAAATAAATTATTGCTAGCTTATGTTAAAACCATTACTTGTGGGGGACTTCTTGCTTATTTTCCTCTTCCCTAATACAGAGAGGCTGTGATAAAGCACTCACTGGTACATAAAGTATTTTTGGACTTTTTCA